TATTTTTCAACATGGACCACTTGTCGAATAAGCATGGCCTCGATGTTATTAAACATTTTTTGAGAATTGTCTCAAATCTAAGGAATTTCATTGGTCAGTGTTGCTTCTGTGTGAGTTTTTAACAAAACAAATACTTAGAACCTGAGTCTGAGCTTAGATAATTTCTTTTTAACCTTTGACCTATCAGATTTTCCCAGGCTTATTGGACCGGTCATTTTCTACAGGGTTGACTGTATGTCTTTTTTTAAAGCAGGATTGGCACTACAAAACGTTACTCGCTGCACGAATAAGACTTTACTACAGTTACACCTATTATAAACTGTTACAAAACTGAATTATGAGTTACACAAATATTTATGATAATGTCGAGGCAATAATTCCGGTTGTTTTCTTTATATATACATTGTTTATGACCTAATAAAGAGCATCAGATTTCTGGCAGAACACAAATTCACGTCTTGCCTGACCACCTGTTTATACAGACCGTTATTTGTTTACTTTTCAAACCCCAAATTGATTTTGTTGTGAGCGGTTTAATACTTCTTTCATTGATGTCAAACCATTAAAATCACCTTTCAAAACTTCTCTCGGTGACCCCTCGACAGGACAAACAAAATAAATAAATAAATAAAAAATAAAAAACAAACAAACAAATAATAATAATAATAATAATAATAATAATAATAATAATAATAATAATAATAATAACAATAATGATAATAACAATAATAAAAATAAAAATAATAAAATAATAATAATAATAATAACAATAATAATATCGATAATGATAATAAGTAATTATTATAATAAAACAATACACATGTATTTGAGTAAGTATTAAAATGTCATGTAAATATACCTTGCCGCTGACTTAGGAGCTCGAACTCGTTTTCAAACACCCAGGTACATTGTCCCCCTATACAGTCCGCCCAAAGACCAAAGTTGTCCAAACCCCGAACTTGTAATATCCAGTACGGAGTGGCGAACGCTATAATAATAGCCAGGTTGGTATTAACCAACATTGTTATTCCAAAGATTTGGGCACAGCTAGCCTCCATATTTATCTTTTTTAACTTACAAATTTATTCCCACAAAAAGCACTATTGTTTATAAATAACAAACGTTACCAATCTAGTTTCTACAGTGATGCTGAGGGTGATCACGCGTTACGTAATAAAACGCTACGGTTCAACTGATAACCTTTATTAAGTGTGTATGTACATGTCATAGTAACGGTTTTAAGTTTCCTTAACATTTGAATCGTTAAAAATAAGCTCATAAATTCCCCATCTCTAGATCGTGTATAAATGGCCGTACGATTCTAGCAGAAATTTGTCGTTTAACTTCAACAAAGAACTATGTGTATACACTTAATTGACACGTTTAGTTGATAACACTTTAAATAAAGGACGAAAATATTTTTTTCCATTTCACTTGTATGTAACCACGGAGTGGAATAGATCTGTGATGTAACTCAGCTTCTACATGTATAATACACATTCCTCATTGTTTACATATAGTGGTCACGTGATCCCACTTCATCAAACGCGCGCGTTCTTTGAATTAAACTCTGACCGTAGTTGCGTTGTAATGAGTGAAAAAATGACACGTGCATTTTCGTTTTGTCTGTAATGTAATACCGTGAAAACACTGTTTTGAATAAGTTTAAAGATGAATTCATGTGTTATACTTATAAATAAATAGAAACTGTATATGATGTTACTACGATAACTTTTAAAGGCTCAATATGGGTTTCATTTTCATGTCTCAAAAGATTATATTTCCGTTGTCCCATAATAGCTTCCAAAATGTTACATACGGGCCTGCTCCGTAAATCACGCTCTTTTGACAGTCTATTATAGCGATTTCGTAAGGAAGTCAAAATACTAATTTGTTTATATTTTGCTACTTTTAGGACTAATGATTTCACATTTAGCACAAATATTTTGTTCAGGAAATAAGCATCTTAGATGCTATTAAACCATTGTTTTTCATTATGAAATACATGTTTGCCCTTTCTAAAGAATGAAAATTTTATTCTTATCTGAGGCATAATGTGCCTTTAAAGTTTACCAACCCACATCTTATTTATGGGCGCTTACTAAATGGTACAGATACCTTTCAAAGGAACTTATATCTGCTACAGTTTTATAAAATATGCATAAACCGTGAACCTGGTTACGCCCGTGTGATTATTACGCAACGGACTACTTCACCCTTTCATTTGTCACGTGATCCCTTTTAAGGAAACCAGTTTGAACCTCTTTGTATGCGGCTCTTCAAATGAGCCCATTAGGATTTTCTGCCGAGAAGGCTTCTCTCTCAATTCATTTTATTAATATGGTTCCGAAATTCGAACTGCTGGGACGCCTGGGGTGGCATCAGTGGTAACATACATACAGTTTCTGAGCCTCTTAACATGTCACTGAAGTGTCTTGAAGTAGACCCTCAGGGACGGCATATCCGGTTTAACTCTCGGAATGTAACTTCTGTTAAAACCTATGACTGATTATGTCTGTATTGTTTTTAAGTTTTGAGTACATTAACTCAACATGTTCAATATCTTAGAAAACATATTTTACACAGTTTCTTACAAAATGTGCAAGGTTTTGAAGACACATGGCAAATATAAAATATGATGAAATTAAAATAAAAAGAATAAAATCAGGAAATGATAACTATAAACCCTCTTCCCTGTGTAGATGTATGCCGCGTTTATTTCAAAGTAAGATAACTCCTGTTGAATCAGCATATGTTATTACAAGATTTATCCCCCGTTTGCCTTGTCGTTTATATAATTAAGGCTAATGACTATCTAAATTGGAGCATTACTAATTGGTAACTCTGCTTCTGTTATTATTAATCAAACATTTACAAAGAGCATTACCGATTTGTAACAGCATTGCTGTTATCTTTGATAAGAACTATACAAAGAAAATCTCCGATTTGTAACTCTGCTTTTGTTATCTTCAATCAAAAATTTACAAAGATCATTACTAATTTGTAACTTTGCTGCTGTTGTCTTTAGTCAAAATAAACAAAGAGCATTACCGATTTGTAACAAGGCTGCTGCTATCTTCAATCAAGAATATATAAAGAGCATGGCATTACTAATTTGTAACGCCAATTCAAAATATACAAAGAGCATAATCAATATACAGACAAACCAGTAACATTTAATTCCATTTAGCAGTATGATTACAGCTCAAATATAATGATAGATTCAAACAAATCTGTATCACTAATTTCTATAACAGCTCAACTTAAATTTAAGATAAGTTGAATCTGTAACACTAATAACAGCTCAATTATAATCAAGATACAGTTGAACCTGTTACAATATATTCCATAACAGCTCAACTACAATCAAGATATAGACTAACTTATAACACTAATTTACACAAGAGCTCAACTATAAACAAGATATAGTCAAACTTACAACACGAATTTCCATTATAGCTCAACTTTAAACAAGATATAGTCAAACTTACAACACGAATTTCCATTATAGCTCAACTTTAAACAAGATATAGGCAAACTTATAACACTAATTTACATTATATCTCAACTTTAAACAAGATATAGGCAAACTTATAACACGAATTTCCATTATAGCTCAACTTTAAACAAGATATAGGCAAACTTATAACACTAATTTACATTATAGCTCAACTTTAAACAAGATATAGACAAACTTACAACACGAATTTCCATTATAGCTCAACTTTAAACAAGATATAGGCAAACTTATAACACTAATTTACATTATAGCTCAACTTTAAACAAGATATAGGCAAACTTATAACACGAATTTCCATTATAGCTCAACTATAAACAAGATATAGGCACACTTATAACACTAATTTACATTATAGCTCAACTTTAAACAAGATATAGACAAACTTATAACACGAATTTCCATTATAGCTCAACTTTAAACAAGATATAGGCAAACTTATAACACTAATTTACATAAGAGCTCAACTATTAACAAGATAATATAAACCTGTAACACTTATTGCCATAACAGCTCAACTATAATCAAGATACAGTCGAACCTATGTCACTAATTTCCATAACAGTTCAACGATAATCAAGATACAGACGAACCTGTAACACTAAATTCCATAACAGCTCGACGTTAATCAAGATACAGTCGAACCTGTAGCACTTAATTCCATGACAGCTCAAATATAAAGCTAAATCCAAATACAGACAAACATGTAACACTTATTTACATAACAACTCAACTATAATCAAGATACAGACGAATCTGTAACACTAATTTCCGTATGACGACAAGCAATGTTTTAAAAGACGAACAAGGCGTTTTTCTTCAGAATATTTATTTGCTAATAGAGACCAATAATTCATTGTCAAGTAAATTCTTATTTAAATACCCAGATTTGATCGGTCATTTATTACAGAGTTGACTGTGTGTTTTATATTTAGACAGCTCATATGTATAACACTGAAGACTGAATTTTAAATTAAACATAAAGTTGATGTAATTTATTTTACTTATTTGTCTTTTTTTAACAAACCGTATTTATGTTTTCTAGATTAAGACCTAACAATTACACGTCTTGACAGACCACCTGTTCACACAGACCATTATTTGAGCCACGTCACGACAAAACCAACATAGTGCGTTTGCGACCAGCATGGATCCAGACCAGCCTGCGCATCCGCGAAGTCTGATCAGGATCCATGCTGTTCGCTTACAAACTCTATAACATGTAGAGAAACTAATAGCGAACAGCATGGATCCTGATCAGACTGCGCGGATGCGCAGGCTGGTCTGGATCCATGCTGGTCGCAAACGCACTATGTTGGTTTTGTCGTGATGCGGCTCATTTATTTCATTTTTCAAAACAAAAAGAACTGGTGTAGCAATACCCGCTCCTCACCTGTATCCCAATTGTGTAAAATTATAATAAGTACTTAATAAAACAATACACATGCATTTGAATAAGTATAAACATGTCATGCAAATATACCTAGCCGCTGGCTTTGGAGCTCGAACTCGTTATCAAACACCCAGGTACATTTTTCCCCTAGACATTCCGCCCAGAGACCGAGGTTTCCGTATCCCAGAGCATGTACTATCCAGTATGGAGTTGCGAACGATATAATGATAGCCAGGTTGGTGTTTACCAACATTATAAGTCCAAGGATTTGGGCACAACTAGCCTCCATATTTCTCTATTTTCCTTACAATTTTATATTCCCACAAAAATCACTATTGTTTAACAAACGTTACAATCTAGTTTTCTACAGCGATGCTGAGAGCGCTCACGCGTTACGTAATAAAACGCTACGGTTCAACTGTTAACCTTTATTAAGTGTGTACGTACATATCAATACATGTCATAGTAACGCTTTTTAAGTTCCCTGAATATTCGTTTCAAAGCTTATAAATTCCTCATCTATAGACCGTATGTAAATGGCCGTACGATTCTAGCAGAACTTTGCCGGTTAACTACAACATAGAACTATGTGTAAACACTTTTCACGTTTAGTCGATAACACCCATTAAACAACGAAACTAATTTCCATTCAGTCTACACATACCCATTACTCATTGTTTACAAACTAGGATAGAGACTCGCAGATCACGTGACCCACGAGTCTATAAACGCGCGCGTTCTTTGATTGCTTTAGCAGACGAACGATTTTTCTGTGGGATAAATGATGATGTATTCGCAGGATTATGCATGAATAGAAATATCATATACGTTACTCAAAGGAACCACGTTGTGAATATTATATATACACTATAAACATCTCGCAGAGAAAACTTAAGTGGAACAACGCTCTTTTATATCGACATCGGAATTCTTTTCAGTTAATACTGCTAACATACTCAGAAAATATTGAAATATGTTGCCATAGTAACGTCTGATCAGATTCTAGATTGTGTAAAATAGTAGTAAAACAAATACTACAAAAGAAATAAGTAATGACTAGAAGAGTTACTCCCCATTAACATTTTTTTATTCATTTTGACTTTAGTAAAACTTATATAATACTAGTTTTAGCTTTTTAATTTGTTTTGCTTATTGTGCATTGAAATTTTTTTTATTTTCTTTTGCAGACGTTGGACGGGTTATGAAATTGTCCACCAGAAACTTTAAATTAGAGCTAAAAATCTGACTGTATAGTACATTGATCGCTGACCTTTTAGAGAATTAATTAAATTTTTGTTTCTCACGCGCAATTAATCTGAAACCAGTTTTGCCCATTTTCACCGAAATTTCAAGATGTGCATTTGTTGGATATACTGGGTGCATGGAGCGATGGGGGAATGTTAATTGGGGACAATTGTTTTACCCGTCACATTAGGTCCTGTACATGTTTATAACAGATACGCATAAACCATTGTAAAGTATAAAATTTATTTCCTCCATTCGTCAGATGAGTATTCGATTGATTCATATATATATATATATCCCATGATAATAAACGATTTCTTTTGTGTGTGTTGGTTTCTATTTCCTTTCTTTTCCCCGTTTTATGTTTTGTCGTTTAACACAATACGACTGAGTAAACCTCATTTCATTAAGTATCGACATAGTTCTTTGTTAGAAGTGGTCAGTATCTGTGTTGAAATAAGTGAAAAATGGCACGTGCATAATTTCTTGCCTGCTATGTATGTAGCCGCCATAAGACAACTGTCTTGTACAAGATTGATGATGAGTAATTGTATATGATAAAAATACTGTATTTTCTGCTAATAAGATACAAAGAGAAAATGTGTGTAATTAAAAGATACTGTTTATGATTTTTAAAAATAAGATAGCATTTTAGTTTACAAGACCACATCTTTTTTATTAATGCTCACTTAAAATTACATTTTTGTTTGATTTTTTTTCAAGAATACTTCCAATATGGCAGTTAGGAAGGTACCTTAAAAGAGCACTGCCGATTTGTAACACTGCTGTACAAACAGCATTTCCGATTTGTAACACTGCTGCTGTTATCTTCAGTGCAAAGAGCTTTATATATTAATAACACCGCTGCTGTTATCTTCAGAACAAAGAGCATTATCTATTTGTAACACCGCTGCTATTATCTTCAGAACAAAGATCATTATCTATTTGTAACACCGCTGCTGTTATCTTCAGAACAAAGAGCATCATCTATTTGTTACACCGCTGCTGTTATCTTCAGAACAAAAGCCATCATCTATTTGTAACACCGCTGCTGTTATCTTCAGTGCAAAGAGCATTATCTATTTGTAACACCGCTGCTGTTATCTTCAGTGCAAAGAGCATTATTTATTTGTAACACCGCTGCTGTTATCTTCAGAACAAAGAGCATTATCTATTTGTAACACTGCTGCTGTTATCTTCAGTACAAAGAGCATTATTTATTTGTAACACCGCTGCTGTTATCTTCAGAGCAAAGAGCATTATCTATTTGTAACACCGCTGCTGATATCTTCAGCACAAAGAGCATTATCTTTTTGTAACACCGCTGCTGTTATCTTCAGAACAAAGAACATTATCTATTTGTTACACCGCTGCTGTTATCTGCAGTGCAAAAAGCATTATCTATTTGTAACACCGCTGCTGTTATCTTCAGAGCAAAGAGCATTATCTATTTGTAACACCGCTGCTGTTATCTTCAGAACAAAGAGCATTATCTATTTGTAACACCGCTGCTGTTATCTTCAGAACAAAGAGCATTATCTATTTGTAACACTGCTGCTGATATCTTCAGCACAAAGAGCATTGCCAATTTATAACACTGCAGCTATTATCTTTGGTACAAAGAACATTACCGATTTATAACACTGCTGCTGTTATCTTTGGTACAAAGAGCATTACCGATTTATAACACTGCTGCTGTTATCTTCAATACAAAGGTCATTACCGATTTGTAACACTGCTAGTGCTATCTTCAATACAAAGATCATTACCGATTTGTAACACTCCTGCTGTTATCTTAAATACAAAGAGCATTACCAATTTGTAACACTGTTGCTGTTATCTTCAGTGCAAAGAGCATTACCAATTTGTAACACTCCTGCTGTTATCTTAAATACAAAGAGCATTACCAATTTGTAACACTCCTGCTGTTATCTTAAATACAAAGAGCATTACCAATTTGTAACACTGTTGCTGTTATCTTAATTACAAAGAGCATTACCAATTTGTAACACTCCTGCTGTTATCTTCAATACAAAGAGCATTACCAATTTGTAACACTGTTGCTGTTATCTTCAGTGCAAAGAGCATTACCAATTTGTAACACTCCTGCTGTTATCTTAAATACAAAGAGCATTACCAATTTGTAACACTCCTGCTGTTATCTTAAATACAAAGAGCATTACCCAATTTGTGCAAAGAGCATTACCAATTTGTAACACTCCTGCTGTTATCTTAAATACAAAGAGCATTACCAATTTGTAACACTCCTGCTGTTATCTTAAATACAAAGAGCATTACCAATTTGTAACACTGTTGCTGTTATCTTAAAAACAAAGAGCATTACCAATTTGTAACACCGCTGCTGTTATCTTCGGTACAAAGAGCTTTACCAATTTATAGCACTGTTGCTGATATCTTCAGCACAAAGAGCATTATCGATTTATAACACTGCAGCCGTTTTTTTCGGTACAAAGAGCATTACCGATTTGTTACAATGCTGCTGTTACATTCAGTGCAAATAGAATTATTGATTTGTAACAATGCTTGTGTTATCTTCCGTACAAAGGTCATTACTGATTTGTTACACTCAGTACAAACAGAATTATCGATCTGCTCTTGCATTCAATACAAAGAGCATTGCCGATTTGTAACACTGCTTCTGTTATATTCAATGAAAAGAGCATTACCGATTTGTGACTTTGTCGCTGTTATCTTCGGTATAAAGAGTATTAGCGATTTATAACACTGCCGCCGTTATCTTCAGCCGATTTTAACACTACTGCTCATATTATCAGTACAAAGAGCATTACAGGTTTGTAACACTGCTGCTGTTCAGTTTTGGCTTATTCGTGTTTATAATATGTCGTCTCTAAATTTAAATGTACAGTTCAATCTCTGCGGAATAACATCTTTTGGGAGACAAGGTTTTTGGTTGTTGCAGACAGGTGTTGCCCTACAGAGCTAAAATTCATTGTGAAGTCTTACTTTGTGTAGAACTGATACAATTGTACTTGGTTTAAACATATTTATTTAAGCTCGATTGAGAAACAAGTTCTTGCAACTTATATTAATCACTTTCGAGTCCGCTTCCTGGAACCAACCAGTACTGGTGTCATATGGAGAAACATGGTCGTGACCCGAGTAGGGCTCGAACCCATGATCTCTGGGTTGAGAGGCAGACACCTTAACCACTAGGCCACCGCTCCCCTTTACTTAAAACACTTTCTTTAAGCTTGTTTTGTTGATATTCTAAAAATAACACATGTCTCTCGGGGTAATAGTGCATATGAGCAACCCGAGAACTGAAATAAAACACGGGGCGGAGCAATTTTTACGGCTTCCAGATTCTTTTCAGGGGAGAGAACTAATACAATACATTTTCTTAAGTCTATATAGATTACTCTCCCCTGGCCTGGGAAATATTGCAAAAAATATTGATCAGGTGAGATAACACCATGTGACGTGACATTAGGCTATATAGTAAAGAATTTACGTTAATAAATGATATTATATATCGTATGTATCTAATTAATTGATCACTTATCTTAAACTTGATATGAGGGCGTATATAACTTGGATGTAGTTTACGGAAAAACCTAAGGGACAAGCACAATTGCTTTTGAATAAATAACAAACACAGATTAGAAAAATCTCCAAATATTTTAACAACTATTTACATAATTATATTATATACAATCAATCTTTTAGAGGATAAGGTATTAATTATTAATATACTTGTTTAGATATTAAATATAATCAACAAAATATGTAAAAAAATTGTTACACATATCTAAATTTAATTACCGATGACATCACCGCGTGCGAGTGACGGTACAGTAAACGTGACGTCAATCCACAGTGAAATCAATGTGTATTACGTCATAGAGACGTGAACGGTATAATGATGATGTAATCGCTTTTTTGACGTCATGTGTAAGTACTATCACGTCAGTACAGGGTGATGTCAACGAAATCTGGTGATGTAACATGGGTCTAACGTCAGTTATCTATTGTGTTAGAAATTTAAAAGCCATTTAACGTCAATTCAGGTGAATATCACCAAGTAATATAAGAAAAATAGGGAAAAAAAGGAAAACATAAAGAATCATGTAACGCCAGTATACGATGAAATTATCGTCTGAGACCAAAATATTTGTAATGTTCAGATTTCTCGTGTCAGCAAATTCTGGCACTACAATTCTTGCATTTATAATATAAAACTATAATATTATACGAAACTGTATATTATACGAAGTTTACAAACCGTTGCATATATTTTCTGTTCATTAATGCATACTTGTAATACAAAAACACTTTATATATGTAAATGTGTTGTTGTATTGTTTTTCTTCTTCCATATGTGAGGTATTTAACATTTCTTGTAATGAAACGTATGCTATATAATTTTCCAGTGAACATTCTTAAATGATTTATAATATCTTTTAGCATTTTGGAACTTAATAAACTAAGTAACCTTAATTGTACCACGAATATATAAATATACAGTAAAACCTCATCTGATACCCACACATGAATCAAAATGGTTTTATTTCGCAAACAATACTTAAAAAGGGGAAATTCAAAGATCACAATTTTCTGGCCTAGATGACTTCACAGGAATCAAAATGGCTCTATTTCGCAAATAATACTTTTTTAAGATCACACTATTATGTCCTAGATGACTTTTTCTAGAATTAAAAACAAAATTATTTGACAAAAAATGTAACATGGTGGTCGCCACCCACGATGTTTGGGCCTTCGACAGCGTGCCTATTTGCTCGTATTTACTTAATTACGTAAGACCATTCTACTAGTAAGACACAAATATGAAAGAGGCCCCGGTATCGCCGTTTCACTGTGAGAATATCAATGTTACAAACAAACATAAATATTTTTTTTCCAAAAACTCCTGAATAATATTTTCTTCTATAATCTTTGATCTAATCATTCTTTAACAAAAACTTTAATATTGGTAAATAGTTTTACACAAAAAAAAAATCAGATATTATTTTACAATAAAAGTGTATCTACCAAAGAAAATGAATCGGTTTAAAAGGTTCCGTTACATACTATAATAATTCACAAAGGCTGAATCCCATTCACTAAAAAATAAAGATTTTTCTTTTTGTATGAAAAAATACCAAAAGTGAAATACATTACCGATCAAAACATAAATTTGTAAATGAAAGGGCGTAAAATATTAACAATAATAAACATAACTTTGAGAAAAAAAATAGTTTGGCTGTTGTGGCTCGAAAGAAACTCATAATAAAAAACACACACACACAAATATATTTGAATCGTCAAAAAATACATCATTGCACAGGGTAAACAAATCACGTGATAACACGTGACAGAAAACAGGTCACATGACCAAAATATCACAGGGGAAACAATACAATATCATAAAGTAATATAATTTCAAAGACAGAGAGGGTTTGTTTGTGACTTGTAAATACAGTGAACAGCAAAAATTATATACATGTACAAATTAAAAATCGACATTATTTCAGATTTGAAATTTGTTGCTGTAGCTGCTTAAAATTTCACAAAAAATGGTTCATAGTTCGTCATGTATTTTGAAGTTAAAAAAGTAATATAACTTTCTCCTTGCGATATTTTCCAAAGTCAAATGACTTCCCATCGAGTTCACTGCATTTTCAGATGACTCATAGCTTAGTACAATTTTGGAGGAAGCCCTTTGTGGCAAAAAGAGTTAGTTTTCGCTGTAAAATGTAGATATAAGTCACCCTGGTTCCCCGATTTGCTAAATGCATAGGAACATGTATGACACATAACAACAAAACATGATATTCACGTGACGCACGTGACCGCGGAAGCTCGTGCGCACGTGAAAAAATGTATAGTTTTGTAATTTTTACGAATATATAACGCAGTTATAGAATTATTTTCTTTAAATTGATGATACTGAAGTAAAAAATAGGATATTACAACCATCAATTACTTTTAGTTTCAAAAAAAAAATGAAAAAAGAAAGAAAATATTTGTCGAAAATATTTCTTTGCAATAAATGACTCGTAAGCTAATGTAACATTAAAAGGGAATTGCGCACTTCTTCTTTTCACATGGGTTTTAAATACAAGTACACTATAAGGGTGTTTATTATACAGGGGTTAGTTTTCCTGGGTACTGGAATGTACTGGGACTGCATAATCAACTCTAAACACATACTGAGAAACTAATAAAATGATGCCCCCACCCCCTTTTTTCAGACATTAAACAAAATGGATTGAATTGAAAGTAACCAAATGTTTTCGAATTACGTCACATTTCCCGAAATTTGCCTAGAATTAATAATGATTTTCACACCCGTAGCGTTTTTTTTTTATAAATCAATAAAAAAAATTCTTCACATATTACACATTGTTGGTATTCTATGCAAGTTATTAATCAAAGTTTTATATTTGTCCAAAAGCAATTTGTATAAGAACAAAAATTACGAAACTGTATAAAAAAAACAACACTAGAAAAAATGGTGTCAATGAACAATAAAAAAGAATAACTGTAAAGATACAAAAGTTGCTCCAACTATAAGTAAAAAATACGTAATATGAAATATTAACGCAGACAGACAGACAGACAAACGATTTTGTCATAATCAATACATAAATTGCAGATAATTAAAAAGGGGGGAAATAACACAACAAAAACACCTGACACAAAATGAATCCCATAAACATTATAACTTTTTTTGAAATTATCTCAAATACAACATTGTGTTGGTTTTACACAAAGTTGACATATACATGTACATGTACTTATTAGGTGAGAATCATCTTATAACACAAACTCACGTCCCATATAGATAGGCTTAACCCGCTCAAAGTTAAACAGAAATTTTGTTCACATAAACGGTCATTAAAGGCAACCCTCGACATCTAATTTAGTGAATATCATCAAATTTTTCTCAATTACTTTGCGAGAAAATTCACCATTAACCAATTTCCATAGTTCGGCAAACTGTATAAGGGAAGTAACTGTTGTTGCAATTAACTTTATACATGAGTAATCGTTCCTTTAAGTCATTTATTGTACGGCGCACCACTATATTCAAGGTATTTCAAATATTTCTGTTTGAAAGACCCTGCGCAAATCATAGGAACAAAACCTTCACTACATTGCAATTTGAACGGACATGGCAATTTGAACGAAAAGAATAAATGCATGCTTCTTTTTATGCATTAATCAAGCGCTATTTCAATACTTTTACCATAAACAAGTGCATATCTATGGTTGATCCAACATTTCAGGGACAATTTAGTGATCTGATGCCTGTTTAAAATGTGTATCCATTCGCCGAGTGTAGCGGTTTGTCTGAATTTTGTAAAAGTATTGTTGTTTTTTGTTGTTTTCTTAAATTCCAACACACTGTCATTGTTTTCAGAGAAAAAAATACTTTTACCGTGGAACAACATCCATTGCTTTTTCTCTCAAAGTTTACAAGACGTAACAGTACTAAATCATAAATTAAGAATTAACACTCAAATCGAATAAAGATGATGTAAATGACTTTAAACAATTTGTCAATCTAGTAGCATCAGTTTTAGATGGCGAAATTTTGGTGAGCAAAAATTAAAATTAAAAAATGAACCACGCTAAATATAACGTCTCCTGCACGCGGCGTCATGGTGACACATAAATTCAGGGGGAACAACTATAAAGTAAAGATGTATAAATGGTTCTCTCCCTTGCATCTCATGCCATGTGCAGGCGGGAAAATTCTGTAAAATTAAAAAGAAAACATATTATTCCAATACACAAATATGTCTATACTTCATTTGATGTCACAGTCGTGACATACTTAAGCATATTTGATAAAAGTCAAGTGTTATATTAATGAAATTATATATTGTAGCGTTAAGTGCTCGAGGTCTAGAAGACCTTGACCTTCGACGTATTGACCTGAAGACTATAAGGCCATCTACTTGTCATGACCATTCTCAACAGATAAACTCTTAGGACTGAAGGCAAAATTGTTCTATAATTATCTGCGGACAAGGTTTAAGTGGTCTAAGCTACGGTGACATTGACCTTTGACCTACTCGCATTTACTTGTCATGACCATTCTCCGCGCTAACTAATAGGGCTGCAGTTGAAAGCGTTATATATTTATTTATCTGACAAGGTTTTGGGGGTTAAGGTCCGGGTGACCTTGATCTTTAACACATTGAAAGCATAATAGGTTCTGGTCATGACAAACCTCCAGATGGTAATCCAAGGATTTTTCTAGTTTTTGGTCAAATAAGGTCAAATAAGGTTTTATTGGCCAAGACTTGTGACGTTGACCTTTGACCTTTTGACCGTAAATTCTATAGGAGTCAACTACTTGTCATTATAAACTATCACACTAAATCTAACTACAGTAGTTCAAAGTGTTTTATAGTTATTGGTCGGGCACTATTTAAGGGGGTCAAGTCACGGTGACCTTGTCATTTGAATTATTGACCTAAATAGGGGTCATCTACTAGCCAAGTGCAATGTCTCTACTAAGTTATATAAATTACGATTGGGTTCGACTCGACTCTTTTCCATTTTTAAGCATTAATCTTGCCTATCTTAATAATAATTCAAGGCAACATTGAGCAGGGAAACACGCTTCAAACCCACTTTAAAGGTACAATATGCCTCAGAAATGAATTAATATTTGCTTCTTTAGAAAGGGCAAACATGAGTTTTATAACATTTAAAAGCATGTAAGATGCTTGTTTCCTGAAAAAGATAGCGCTAAATGTAAAATAATGTGTCATAAAAGTAGCAAAATGTAAACAAAGTAGTATTTTGACTTCCATATACAACACTAAATCATAAGGAATGTACTTATAACCAAAGAAGCAGAAGAAAATAGTTTAGGTTATTAGCCGACGGGTAACTAATTCAAAAATAAAAAAAATTAAAAAAAAATGCCAAAAAAAAAATTTTTTTTTATAAATTAAAATGAAAGTATCAATGGTAGGATACTACGTCATCGCGCACCTGCTGAACATCGGACCATTTGACCATCGGCCATTTTTTGTAGAAAATCCGTCGGCTCGGACGTAAAATTCGGTTCCATTTTAAGAAATAGTTAAAGTATCAAAATTTAGTGTCCTCCATTGACAATGGGCCTTTAAGAGGGCTATACATCTTTTAATAATACAACAAGACTTACCGTCGAAATCAATTAATCCATCTCCGTTTAAATCCGCCTCTGAAAACATTGCTTTAAGGTCTTCATCTGATAAATTTTCCCCCAATCTCCTCATTACATATTTAAGTTCATGTTTGTCGATAAATCCGTTGCCGTCCATGTCAAACACTTTGAACGCCTCTCGTTTTTTAGCCTCGGCGGAATTCGGATCACCTTCGGAATCATCCCGAAACCGTTGCATCATGCTGATAAATTCGTCGTATTCGACATACCCGTTTTCTGAAAAAAGAAACTAGTGAATTTGATTGAAACTGTCAGTACTTTGATATGCATAATATCGGAAATACCACGGTATCTATTTTTGAAAAAGTTATGACTAGACTGTTCCGTCACATTTATTTTTAAATGTCCTTTTTTTAGAGCTAAATGATAAATGTTTTCTGGATCATACCTGGGAGGTCACTCTCTGAATCCCATGAATATAACATAAATTTAGACTGAATACATAGCCCTTTTTTGAAGTTAGAAAATTTTTGGTTAAAGGCTTGCAAGCAACACCAATCTTCAGAACGACATGAACATGTATGTTCTAGTGGTTTTCATTTAAAACGAACACAAACATCAGTTCTCGAAAGAAAACTGAAAATATTCACATGAAACCTAATAAAACATGTCTTGGGATCATAATCGAAGGTCACTATTCAAAACCCATAAAACTCTGACATAGAATTTTACTGCCTTTAATAAAATTATAGAAATTCTTAGTGGAAAATGTCTGATGTTCGGCTCTTTGTGGACAGCATTTACTCAATTCCTCTTTCTTGTCCGTCGTATCCAGTGCCTTCAGCAGATTAATAAAGGTAAGTAATTATTGATAGTCGTGAAATAAAACTCATAAAACAGCATAACAAAACTGAATTTACGATCCAATAAAACACAACACCAGCACAGCGCCAGTGCTATAATGAAATGTGAAATGCCATTAAGAGTTTATCTGTACCTGCATGTCCTAAATTAAAGCCAAGATGTTACATTGTAACGCTATGGTATCAAAGTCCAATTGAAAAAAATATGACAACCTGTCACATAAAAAGGACAATAAGTTATTTTCTGTAAACAATATTAGATCAATGTCGTAGTTCAAACTCCGCCATACGATACAGTAGCATTACAAGGCGATACTACTGTATGGTGGCTGATTTGGAACGCTTTTGTGCGTCATGTTGTCGCTAGCGAAAGCACGACAAAGCCCCAAACGGCGCATTGTCGGACGTTCGTCTTGTCGTCCTGCCGCTAACGATGCACGCCAAACGGTGCGTTGTCGTGCAGCCTGTTGTCGCGATGTGACATTGTCGCTCTGCTCAAATTGAAGGATTGGCGACAGGGTCAAGCGATCGGGCGACAATGCACCACACGACAACGCGCCGTTTTGGCGTGCTTCGCTAGAGACAGGACGACAAAACGACAGTGCAATAACGCGCCATTTGGCGCTTTAGCTAATGACAAGACGAAAAGGCGATAACGATATAGGTTGTGCTGTCGCTATCGACAACGCAACGCGCAAAGTGTACCAAATCAGCCACCATATGCTACTCTTTGTATAGGTTTAGTTTGTACTGAACTATGAAAGTGGAATCTCTTCATAATTGAGATTAACATGTACATTGAAAGTTTTGCCCTTTTTATCTTTATTTGTCATCCAATAAAAACGCTGAATTTCTTAAAATTTCTGTTAGTTAATTTTCATAGAAGAACAAAAGTCGAAACTATATCCAATCCAATTCATAGTCGCCTTGTATTTTTTCAAAGTACTTCATAGAACCGGGTTCATAAAATAATCGTGACGTGAATTTTATGAAGCCAAATAAAGCTTGACAGTAAGTATGTTAGTATTCATCCGTAGCTGTTCTACAGAAATTAGAAACATTCTCCGGTCGCGATACCGGTCGCTATCGCCCCCGTCGAAGTTTCTAATTTCTGTAGAACAGCACGGATGAACACTGACATTATATACATAATGCAAGAAAAATAAATATGTATTTCCATTCTAACATGCTAATAAAAAAAGAGAATTGATAAGAATGTGTTGAACTTAAGAAGTGTAGAAGTAATTTTCCTGACGTGATTTTGTTTATTGGCGTCATATATGACGTCAAATGAGTTGTAAGCTTAAGAAATAACATCGGCCTGAGAGGTGTATATCGGCTATTTAACACCGGTTTGGAGTTTTGATGCGTAGGAATTGACCACGAAGGCCGTAGGCCTGAGTGGTTAATTTTCTCGCATCGAAACGACAAAACCGGTGTTAAATAGCCGATATACACCTCTCAGACCGATGTTATTTCGATTCTAACACGATAAAATAAGGAAAATCACTTATGTTATTTTTCAAGCGGAAATAACTTCCGGTGCCGATTTTCGTATAACGCTGTTCGATTTTCGCACCCTGCTGTTGCGAAGATATATAAATTATTAAACAAAAGAAATAATAAGAAAAAAACCGTTATTTTATCAAGTTTTCAACAATAAAAACTGACGTCGTATTGTGTTTACGTCAGTGCTCCATTTATCATTATTGTATGTATGAAATAACGTCAGCTTGTTTATGAATGAGTTGTTTACTTAGGATGACGTCATTACGCTGCTTATACGGATTGGCGCCGTTTTGTCAAAATATTTATTAACTGATATGGATCTAATATGTGGCGTTAGTGTATGTGAGATATTATTTCGGTATTGTATGAAAAGAAAGCATTATACGAACTGAAATATAAATAAAAATGTTTTTTATTGTTGCTTTAAAATGCTTTGTAAACTATACAATCGAAGGTGAAAACATAACAGCGCATATACAAGTAGTCCCTAACCGGTGTGTATTGGCAGTTTAACACCAGTTTTTTTCCTTCTTTGTCTATAGTTACAAAATCACGTGAGTGTTAGAATTAGGTTTTTATGCTGTGCCTATAATTATGGTGTAATAATGCTTTTTATCGCCCTGCACAGCCGTCCGGTTAGCTCAATAGGTAGAGTGTTGGACTGTTAACCGGACGGCGCGGGCCATTTCCGTTGTGATTGATAATGAAATCTTTTCTACAGTCATTTGCACTGTAGATCTACCTCTGCTCTGGTATGTACAAAAGTTGCAGATTCTTGCGAAAGTGAAGGCAACTTGTACTTGAAAACTGCCTGACAGCTTGCCCAGGATTGATGCGCTGGCTGCTCTGGTAAATTCAATGTGGCTTATTGCGTGTAGCGGGGTGAAAACTACCAACACCACCACTTGATCGCCCTATCCGTTTGATAGGGGAATAGTGTGAAGCGTGTTAGAATAATTATGGTCTATTTATTTTATTGTGGTCTATATATTTTATTATGGTCTATATACATCATGTATTTTAATCGTTTAGTTATTCACGGCTAAATCGTATATATGTAACTCACCGTTCGTATCTGCATTTTTTATCATATCTTCAACTTCTTTATGAGAGTGTTCGTGACCAAGAGCCCGTAATACACAACCCAGCTCTTCGCTTGAGATCTTTCCGTCATTATTTTTGTCAAACATTTCAAATGCTTGTTTTAAATCTGAAAACAAATAAAAATCAAGCGTCTGTGGATAAAGAAAATTTTTCAATTAAGAAGTAAAAATTTTAACAATCGACACAAATTTGTGCACGTTTCGGTTCCGTGAGGTAGATTTACAAAAAAGACGCAGAAGGCTATTCCTTTATTATTTACATTCACGTTGGTGCGACGTGAAATTCAACATACAAACAGACAAACAATAGTTTAGTGACAATTTAGTTGAATTCCTATGGGGGAAATGTAAGAGGAAGTGCGTACAAAACAAATTGTTTATGTACCGCTCGCCCAGCAGACGACCGTCAGTCGTCAGCCTCTTTTCAGGAAACCTAGTTACAACAATTACTTAAAGAAGGACAGGGAGACATATTGCGCAATAATGGCATTTATTCTTTACATAATATTATACTTGTTTCTTACATTGACATCGTTAACATTTAAGCTTTAAAATAAATACCAGCATAACGTAACGCAAATAGGTTTCACATTTCGCTCATTTCGCTAATTACAAACTTATCGCTGATCAGACAAATTTGCATATTCTAAACGCCATACCTTGAAATTAGAATCTGACCTCGATTTCATTGAAATAATTGACCTAACTTTAATGAGTAAGTGACATGACACACGTAACACATTAGTCAAACGTTCGTTAAAAAAATCAGCAGACCTATTACCATGGTAACGCTTCTGGACATTTAGAAAAAACTGTTTCTGCTTGTATTTGTTTTTTTGTTTTTTTTGTTTTTTTTTGGTTGGGTTTTCCGTCGCACCAACGCAGTAAAGGTCATATGACGTCTTTTCAGCTTTACTGTTGGAGGAAGACCCGTTCGTACATTATTTCAGGCATGAACGGGTACCGACCGACGTTCCGTAAGCTAGTTGGATAGCTTCCTCACATGAAAGAATCCAAAGTCCCTGTTGGGATTCAAACCCACAGTGGGGAAGTGCAAGCGGTTTGAAATCACCGACCTTAACCACTCGGCCACGGACGCCTTCTTTTGCTGCTGGTCATGCATTTCTTGACCTTTATCCATCGGAAGTGACGTTTTTTAATGATGGCGGGTGTGAAATATGATTGTTCTCCATTGTAACACATAAAATACAATTTTGTATGGGAAGAATTTGCAGAGAATAACAGATTGCTAAACATCATAATTAAATCAAATTCGTCTGATTACTTTGTGTTATGATGCAAGCTCCGTGCCAGACAGGTTCACATTCAAATCGAACCATTTCGGCTATTATTCATATGTTTGACGGAAATGACCGAGAAGATACGATTGGCTCACATTCCCGGTAAAATATGAGTTTTTACATGCACCGAGAAATAATCATTTCAGTTGTCATATAAAAGATAGATGGTCTTCTTGTGGCAAATCAGTAACCTTTTTGACACTATAACAGGACTCCAAAAAATGAAAAAATGAAAAAATTTCTGAGGCTTACGGCTAGTCGTCTTTTAAAGCGTCCAAGCACGTGACTAAAACGTCATTACGTAGATTTCAAGCGCCTTTTAACTTACCGTGATCGTTGAGACCATTCGGAACACGTTGGTCATTTTTTGACTTTGCCATATTATATTCTGCTCCAGGGTCGCCACTTGAACCCGGCACCGAAACGTGAGCGTCTTTAGAATCAGAGGATTTGGAATGTTTTTTCTTGGAGCTGGGACTCAGGCGGATGAATTTTTTACACTTTGAGGACTGAAAATAGAAATAAAATCGAGACATTAACATAAGTTCGCAGATAGATTACACTCTTTTTTGAATACCATATTAATGAGACAAAAGTTGGAATAAATTTTGCTTAAAAGATTAGTTCTACATAAATAACTAAATTTTTGTTGCTGTGATATTTATACGTTTTATTTGGATTACAAATTTTGGTTTCTAAATTCAGTCGTCTTCTGAAATATTAAACATTATTTGTATGTAAATTACATATATAATAAAATATACATGTACATGTATGCTAATATGGCAATTGACAGGAAATAAATGCATCAACGATACGCTTATCTGTTACTATATTTTCGGACAGCTACACTGCCACCCCTGTAAAAACTTCGACGAAAATAAACAAGATTAAAATGATGTATTATCTCAAATTTTAAAAAGGATCGGGGGGACTATTTCTCTCTAAAAATGGTGTGACCACAGATGGGTGCCCGCACTTGATAGTAAAATCACTCTATTGTCTGTATGGTCTTATTACAGCTGTGACCCTTAATGGTTCATTTGATGGGAAAAAATCGACACATTTTTTCCATTGGTACAAAGATTTTTTTAAAGACTTTCAAGAAATCTGGTAATTAGTTCTTATTTTAACAAACGAATAATCATTTCTTATTTAGACGAACGAACGAACGGACGAACGAACGAACGAACGAACAAACAAACCATGATCAAATATCCATAAATTTAGTTTTAGAAAAAAAAATATAAATGTTTATCTTTTTACAGACACGTGTTAAAATTGCAGTTTGTTTACAAAAGTGACATTAAATTGTCGGTAAACATGTCGCAAAATTAAACAAATCATAAATACACAAACATGGTATACTGTAGGCTATATATACACTTAAAGATTTATTTAAACGCGGGGAATAATAATATAGCGTATGCTATATATATACACTTCAAAGCGGGGTATAATAGTATATAGCACGGTCAAAGGTATTTATAAACCAAATATGTCCTTGAACAAAAAAAGAATAAAAAACTACTATACGTCTAAATATAGTTTAAATACTTATACAAACCGAATCTCTTCAAAATAAACGCAGTAAGTTAAGCGTGTATTTATATACAAACTTACAGATAATCGGAATAATACACAGATACTCGGATATCTAGATATTTGGATATCTGAGATCAATAAATCGGACTTGTTTAATTGACCAGAATTAAGAAGGATATCTAATTTTGGACATAATTCAAATTGATCACAGGACAGAGATTGAACAAAAATACATGACGAAAACAAATAAATGATAAAAATAGCATACGAAGAAGGAAATGAAAAAGAAGGAGGAGAAGAAGAAGACAAAAAAAACAAGAAGAAGAAGAAGAAGAAGAACAAGAAGGAAAATAAGATAAATGATGAACAAGGAGGAGGGGGAAAAGAAGAAGAAAATAGAATAAGAAGTAGTAGAAGAAGAAGAAATAACTGTATAGCTGACTGTTCGAGATATCATACAAATGTATCAACTAGTATATACCACGTACGTTATCTCTGTCAAAAACAGGGTCAAATATTGACCTTGATAAATTCACCATTGTTTAAATATATTTCGGTCTGATAACTGATAACTGTTGCATAATAAACAATTTAAACTATAAACCATACATCCCCCCCAAAAAAGAAAACAACAAACAAACAAACGAAAAAAAACAAAAAGATTGTAAAAGTTTAAAATTAGCAAAAATAAAATGTACATATTACTAAATATTAAAATACAAAAAAGCGGTCAAAATATGCATAAATAGCGCATACTTCGTTACATTTCAGGATATAAAAAACAATATTGACTGAAATAATAAAATTATCCTTCCAGGCATTTGGCAATTAGTGTTTCCTTTTCATAGACATTTGTTTATTCATCTGGAAGCGAGCCGCTTTAATAAAAGAACACTGCTCCAAATAAATTCTGTGCCTCGGAATAATCATTACAGAAAACAAATCGTGCCGAAGAGAACCGGGGGCTATGACGACCAAATTTAACGTTCGCTATTAAATCTCCATAAATTATTCCTTTTCCGTTTAACCGGAAAATCTGATTTTACGACCCAGTTATTTGCTATTAAGACGGATACAAATCTTATTTCTTCCTTTTACATCAGAATTGTTTTGCATGATTATTTTACGTCATCTTATCTGGTGATACATTTTTTTCTGATTCAAAATGATCAAAATATAGTATTTTCATGTTTAGGCATACTGCATTAAATAAAAAGAACAATATGCATCGAATTGTTTTCGAATTATATCAAATACTTAACGTTGTCCTTTCGGATTACATTTTGTTTACAGATACAATTTCTTTCTCTCAAGTGACCCCACCCCGTCTCAAAAGATAAAAAAGTTTACTTCCTTATGGGGGAGGGGCGGGGGGGGGGGGGGGGGTTACGTCGCACTGAAACGGTAGAGGAAAGTCGACTTATGACCTCCTCTCTTGTGTTTGTTAGTCCAGCGTAAAACCCAACCAAAAAACGGGATGGGCGGACAATTTATTTAGTCAAAGGTAGGATTTAGAGACTGTCATTTGTAAATCAGAATGAAACTACCTATATCTGTATATTTAATCACTTTAACAGTTCAGACGGCGATCAGTTAGTATATAACGTACTAGTGTACAAAGACATGGCGTAGGAATGCGAAACTTACAATTCATAGGTCAAAAATCAAGATCAAGATCAAAATATCCAAGGTTAACTATAATCTTATTAAAGGGAAAGGTAAATATAGAAATGAAAAATGAACGTCAGAAGAAGCATACTTCTATAAATAGTAAATTTGTAAAAGTACTTGTTAATAATTATCAAGTTGAAGGAAGAAAAATGAGAATAAAGATCAACAAGACAAGGCGACGTTCACAGAACGCAGCCCCCGACACAACCCAGCCACACCAGCAGGGCACCCAGAAGGCATCGAACTTTTTTAAACATATTTCTAAAACATGTATTTTTACACGGCAAGCTTGGGAGTAAAAAAAAATAAGTTACTTTGTTCAATTGAGATATCAAATGAAACTGATACTTTGAAAGGGTGATATTCTTTATTGATCAGTGCCTTTAATTTGGGTTTGGCACAAGTGTACATGTTTCGTCCCTTGCTAAAATGGGAAAATAATTGTTAAGGCCATACCATTTTTTTCGGTTTCTTGATGCCCCTACAAATGTTGTTTTTATATTTCGTTTTAAAGTGTTGCTTTGTTGTATAAAGTTATTTTTAGAAAATGATCAACATATCTTACTGTTAACTGCTGAAACACCATTGGCCCACCCTTCCCCTCTTTGAACACCGCATGTATGAAGTTCAGGAGTGTCACAAAGAAACTTGTCCTTAACGTTTCACCTAAATATTTTGATTGTGAAGAAGTGATACAAAAGTAACCCCGTTACTGTTTCACAATAACTCTAAAGTTTCTTACGAAATGTTCTTTGTCTGTCATATCCAAGTTACAGTCAATGGACCCTAAACACGAGCTTAAAAGCAGACTACACTGTCTATAAGAATGACTTGATGTAAACCAAATGTATCCGCAATTTCTTATATTAATCAAATAAAGCGGTCTATAAACGCGTCTTAAAGACCCATTATGCCTCAGAAATGCTATCATTTTCATTTCTCAAACCTTTTTAATTTTTGGTATCTTGTAACAATTACATAAAAAATACTTATTTGACATATAGATGAATTATCTTTACTTCTTTTGTTTAAGTACAATTACAGTGAATTAGTATTTTCTATGGAAGTCAAAATATTACTTTATTTACATTTTGCTACCATTACTACACATTACTGCACATTCAGTGCTATCTCCCTCAACTATTAAACTTCTAACATGCTCTAAATCCATAATTAAAACATTATTTAACACATAGTAGACATTTCTAAAGAATTTGATAAATATGAATTTCTGAGGCATAATGTGCCTTTAAACTTTTATTATATTAAATAGCATTATATAACACATTATAAGGACACGTTCCAAAACATATATGGCATTGATCCTATAGGAAAACAAATATTTTACATTGCCTGGCCACGGTGACAATGTCATAGTATCAAATTCAGACACATTCAGTGTTTACAAGTAAACAAGTTAAGGTCAGGGGTATCAATTAACGTGCACATTGTTTCGCACGCAGATATTATCTTAAAATAATGCATTGCCAAAATTAATGGTAAACCAAAGTCCTAAAGTCAATCACAATAAAATTGTTTACACATTTTCAAAATTGATGAACTATTCTTAACTTTGTAATCTACATGTTTAATCAATATTGTCATATCAAAGGGCAGTGTAACTACGTCAACATCACGTTTGCGTTTCTTATAGTTGAGTTTGAAGTCGAACTTACACTATCATTGTCAGGTGGTAACTCTATAGCTGCACGAAACCTTATTTTTTACATTTGACCGGCTCACTACATAAAATACTGAAACATTAACGATTCTAACGTCAAACGTCCTAGACGGGATTCGAACCTACAACGGTTACTGGAAGCGAAATTACATACTCGGCCTCTGAAGATTAAGATTTATGACTGTATGATAGATTTGTGATCGGGGTTCAAAACAAAACCGTCTTTTCAACAGTAACAGGAAACCGTTTTGTAGGCAACTAATGTTGTACAAAAAAATAATAATAAAAAGAGGAAATAAGAAGTTATGAATGCATAAATGGATGAGGACTGAAAATAAATACCTTAACAAAACCGACTTGCCTTACTTCATCCTGTTGAGAATTATAAATGAAGTCAATTTTTTTTTCAAATTACTTTATGCAAATACGATGTAAGTAAAAAGGGGACAATGTTTGAATAACTTAACTACAAGATGATACCTGATACAGGAAAGAATATCTTTCGGATCTTTTTTATAAGAGACGAAAATAGCCTTCTGCTTCCGGAGAAAAGATGCATAATAACAATAAAAAGCGCGCGAGAGAGAGGAGAAAAAAACAGTCACTTTAAAT